TTGTCCTGTATGGGTTAAGACATTGCTCGGGAATTGTTTCTTAACTCTCGTAAGCAGAGGAGAAGACGCGACCCGTTTTTTATTTGTTCTCGGCACATCCATTCACGTGTGGCGGCTACTTGTATTAGCCTTAGTCCTGCAGCCCAGAACCCATGTAGACTTCCTTTCGTTGTTTGTTTCTCATGTTGAATAGCGCCTCGATTACGCAGTATCCGGAGCGTTGTTTTGGGAAACGTTGTATAGCATTCTCCACATCCTATTCCATGCCAGCATTTACTGGATTAGCTCATCTGAATGGTAAAAGCGTAATTCTCTTGCGATCGCTTTAGACAGTTCTGGGGCTTGTCGACGTGCGCAGACGTATTCAGAGTCCCTAATTTCCAAAATCTCCCTGTCTGATGACAATTGAATCTTGCCAGCAAGCATAGTCCCAAAGAGGCACCCCATGGTCTCCTTGGCATCTCGACAGCATTCTAGCTCTTGACAAATGTTGTCGACTAGACGAGCCGAATGGTGTAAATTTAAATGTCTGAGTGCTACTCGGCGGTAGCAGTATCAGTCTAAGTGCTCCGTGAATTCGTTTTGACGAGCCCATGACTCATTAAAATCTTTATGTAGGGCCACCGATTATCAGTACCTCGTTTTACCGCGTGTTCTAGCTTGTCCACTGTTTCGACAAGAGATTCATTCTAACTTTGGTTTTCTTTATAACAAGTTATTTAATTGCCTTCAGAACATGTTTGCTAACGATTGACCGCGGTTCACGGAAAGACATAAAGCCTTGGGTAAGCTGTCAATATGACACTCCTTTTTTAAACTTGTTGCTGTAGCGTCTCCATAGCTGTCTTGCGCATTAAATTGTGCATCATCGTGTCGTGCAACTGCGAATGGTCCCCGTTTGGCTGCTAAATCGCTAAATCGCTCGAGTGGAGCTTGCTGTTGTCCTACTATGTCGATTGCTGTACCGCTTTCTCTACTACTTTCCACATATAATTGTGATTTAGGGACAGTGATGTCTCATAATCGCTTTAGTTTCTTTTTGTAGTGTTTTGCCGATGATTGGTTGTGGAATAGCTCGTAAGACCCCAATGTTCAATTGTTGAAGCTGTGCTTGTTGATGACGTTTATCCTTTTTGCCAGGAGTTATCGTTTTGTATTTCCTCGTTTCGATGCCCAGCAGTTCTAACGTGTATGGTGAGACTGTGTTGTACTTCTTGCTCGTCAGCATTGATCCCCTCTGGTCCACCAGCCTCGGATTTTCATTCCAGTAGTATCTAACACGTTGTATATCTATTGTGGCGACGAGTCAATCGCCGAGGCGAATACAGATCAGTTGAACCTAGCATATTGCGACATCTCTCTTCGAAGCCAAAGAGGCTTGTACTTGACCTTAAAAATATAAACAGCGAAAAAAGATAACCATCCTGCCATTCTGTGAGAGGTGTATCGGTGATATAACCGTGCGTATTGGCGCTTATTCCGTATCGATTACGAATGGCGTGGAGTCGAGCAAGTATAACTTGATTTTCCATAAAGTAAGCGACTCATTTTTCCGAGCTGAGAACTATTTCTATGCGCTGTACATGCCCATAAACCTTAACTTGAAATATAGCACAGCCAATGACGATGGCTGGCGACTGGATGGCCGCCCTGTCTAGCGCGCCCGGAATCGTTTGTATTCTATTATAGGGAGTGCAATAGGTTTCCGTGCACTTGCATAGTGAGAGCTTTGCCTCTCAGAGTTCACGTTGACAAACGCACCGGGGGTGTATTCGTGTGCCCCCACAAGGAGCAAAACTGAGAGGCTCTAAAGTGACTAGCTATGTCAGCTCGCTTCGTTTTTCAAGAGGACATCTAGCTGCGATTGTTCCTTACGAAATATACGCTCTTGACTAACTCATAATGCATTGTGTTATACGGCTAGCAGCCCACGTGTACCTTGGACTTCCTCCTTTCAAATCTTCATCATCTTCATACAAACCGATATCCTGGTTGTATGATTTTTCAAGATTACACCCTGTGCGATTCAAATTCCGTAGAATTATACAATGCGGTAAGGGTAAAGTACACAATACTTTCCTGTTAGGTCCTTTAAACTCAAATGTAAATAACACTGAGTTTATTCCATATTTTGTCATTTTTATGACATTGCGTAGGGTGACCACTCCATGAACAGCCGCCGCGTCTGGAATTTCACTTCTGTACTTTACTGCGCATACTTTCCACCCATACATGCATCGGTATTTCGGTCCCGTGCAAAGCTTAACTGACTTTACGAGCTCCCGCCAAAGCGGTCTTCCAAACCGACGCGGTCAAACAAATATTCGGTGAGGATGTCGGGTTGCTCTCCGATGAGAGCAGTTTAAGAGACGCCCTGAGTCCCGGTCAAACACCTCTACCCTCACCTGGCGATACACGGTATAGTGTTCCCATAGAGGAGGCGCTCATTTGATCAGTATCCCACAACTCAAATCTCGTGAGTCTTGGGAGCGAAGTGTTATGCAGCCAGTACGGAGAGATGTGCCTGCTCACGTAGAACGGCGTGTAGCCGGTAGATGCATGCACTGCACTGTAAAGAGAATATTCCACAAGTGGCAGCATAGCGCTCCAGCGCTTCGGCGTCTCAGCGCAGTCGCTGCGAAGGACGCCTTCAACGACGCGATTCACACGCTCAGTTTGACCATCGGTCTGCGGATGATCCGCTGTTGACAGAGTCAACTTGGTGCCCAGCACCTGAAGACTGTCGGCCAAAACTTTCCAGTTTAGCGTAGGTCTCTGTCAGACACAATTGACTCCGGAATCAATGTTGTCGAAAGACATGATCCACAAACAGCGTCGCTGTACCCACATCGTCGATGGTGTTTGATACCGACGCACGATGAGCCGCTTGTTCATATGGTCTACAGAGATCACCACACCTGTGTTGCCCGCCGAGTCCTTTGGAGACCAAGCTCGAAGTCCAAATTCATGAACTGCCAACAACGAAGGGTACCGTAAACTGTCCAGCGGCGCCGCCGTATTCGGAGAAAGTTTAAACCTTTGGCGCGTATCACACGTGCGCACATATGTGCTCGTCCATTTGTACAGCTTGGGTCACAAGTAGTGGGAACTCACCGAGCTGTACGTCTTCTTACGAGTGAGATGACCATCGAGTGGGGCGTCGTGGGCCTCATACAGTATACGGTTTTTCAAGCCCTCATCGTGAGGACCACAATTCGTGGCGTACCCGTCGAATCGGTGCTAAAATACTGCAACCCGTTAACAACGAATATCGGTGTAACCATGCGCGAAGTCGCGACGACAATTTCTTGTCCGAGTTTCCAAACGCCTTGCTACCTTAAGCCTGTAGCAGCGCTACATGCACACCATCATCCGCGTACGCGGCGCGGATCAAATCCGTCACTGACGACGTCACCGTCGTAACATGAGCAAGCTCATAATCTGATCTGCGGGACAATGCATCAGCCAAAGCATTCTGCTTTCCCGGCTTATACTTCACCTTGAAGTGATATTTTGCGAAGAGGAAGAGCCAATCGGTCACCCTCTGCGAGAAGTGAGGCGACTGAGTCGCAGTGCGTAATATCGCACGATCTGTGTAGATTAAAAATGGCTTTGAGCCAAGTAGATACACCCTGAACTTGACAAGTGCTTACTTCAACGCATTCATTTCTTGTCGTGGACTAGGTAGTTCTTCTCCGCAGCCTTCAGCTGGCAAGATTCGAACGCGATCACCCGATCTCGCCCCTCGGCGCCTGCTTGCATCAGTGCACAGCTGATGGCAAAGTCCGAAGCGTCAAGGCAAATGTACTCTATGCACTCTCCCGTTCAAAATTGGAACTGTATTTAATTAGTTTATTTGCGGCAGAGATGTCTATATCTAAAACCTTAGGACCTCCTAATCAAAATAGTTTAACCTAACCAATATGCATGATTACTGGCAGTTCCACCACGTTGTGCCTTCTTGTTACGGTGTAGTCACACCATTGTGTGCTTACACCGACTTATGTATTCTACACCTCTCTACGGTCACATAATCTTGTGTGACCCACCCTTTCATACCAGGGTACGTTTAACCCCGTTACACAAACGGTTCGTGAGCGCAATGCGCTGGTGGTCACCATGTACTAGCGGGTCAGCACTGATGTATTCAGGTGGAAACATATTAATGAACAGTCTTGCCGCATGCAGGGGCACCCGAGGCTAGCCTGCCACTTCTGTCAGAATGCTAGCAGTCTATCCGTATGAACTCGGTTCTTTGAAAACCATTTAACCAAATGGATTACTTGCTGCTACCAGCGAAAGGCGCAACCGGCGATGATACGGCCAAGGTGCTCATTCGATAATCTGTTTGTCCAACATTGCTTGCCGGTAGCCATTGTATCGGACAGAGATCCACAATTTACAGCAAAGTTCCCGCAGAGATTACTCATAGTTACCCGACACCAGATTGGTATATAACCCGCTGGACATTTGCAAACAGGTGATCAAAAGCGTAAATCGCACTGTGAAGGATATCCAATTATGCACTTCTGCGGATATACCATGATGCTGAGGCGAGCTGCTTCCTTTCATTGAGTTTGCACTATTACGCAGCACATGTCTCTACAGGCTTTAACCTTTTTCACATGAATGAGTTAGTGAGCACCCGAGTGTCTTTGACACCGCCACGAAGTGTCTCAGGCATTAGTAGGGAGTGGCTGACGATTAAATCGACTTGCTACGATCAGTCCGGCTGTACATCGGCGCAATATTGGTGGTAGTATTCCTGTGAGATTGAGCTTGAGGCGCAGAATATGCAACGTTATGGCGGAGAACTAGGATGTCCAAAATTAGCACGCCGATGTTAGAGGTGGGTGGAACATACATAAATTGATGTTAAACAACACCTGTTGTTAAAACATTTAACATTTCTCATTATTGGAATGCGTGCTGCAACACGCAGCCCTGCCTCTTCTTTAAGAAAAGTAAAGACCAAATGCGTGCCAGGTTGTAAGCTCCAGGAAATAGAAACTACGTTCCTGCTTTGCCGCATAGAAAAACTTAACGAATCGAAATGGTGGCAACACAACTTGGGCCGCTACAGAGCTCCTCTCACCCGATAGGCTCGTAAGAGCGATGCCGCGGTATTACGTCAGTAACTCATGTAGCACACAAAATGTGTTTGCATTTCGTTCAAGCATATTGGAAAGATAGCTCAATCCCTTATTTCGCTACGAAGTTAACCACCCAACGCAGCGCGATCATAACTTAGTTAAAGAGCGCAGACACTGCATGTTAGCGTAATTACAAGATGGATATCCTCCTTGCCGCGTGTTCCGTTGATATCACCACACCACAAACCACCACATGTCTCAGTGGTAACGTCGCCAATGGATGAGGCGAAACCTACAGCATATGGGTCTGACGCAACATGCGTTTCACTGTTGATATATTTGAAAAGAGAAAAATTTGGAGACTTGGGTTTTACTTTATTGGCTGCACGTTTGCACCGCTGTTCATTCCCCAAGGCTTTTCGCAATACACTTGATACCCAACGTGTGGTGATTCCTCGCATACAAATTTCAAGTAAAAATACTTTAAAAGGCACATGATATGACAACATCGAAAGAAAAAAAGACAGGGCTCAGTGAGCGCAGTATACAGTGTATAAATGGGTAAGCAGCTGAGAATGCATTTGCGAAATGTGTCAGCGAATTTAATCCCCGCATAGCCATCGACCAGTCTGCAAGTTTTGGCCAAACTTTAGCAGTCCGTTAGTACGGACTTTATTCCTGGTTGTCCAAAAGAAGCTTTCGGGAATACCTATATTGTGGCCTTTGTGGGCCGTTCGATCAAAGTGGCTCACCTCGTAAAAATCATCAATACCATTATTGGTGAGAGTACAACCAGTCTGATTTTTGTCAGATTTTTTGCCAACATGATTTGCCTGTGGACGGTGTTCGGGACGAGTTTTGCGCTTTATAGCGTAGGGTTGGTGAACATGATCGAAAGTAGGCAGGACATGTCTGCTGCTTACGAACCACAGATATGTGGTCAGACGATACATCAACCGCGTGGTGGGGAATATCCGCCGCAGCCGTCACGATCGCAGCACATGACGCTAAGTCTTTTCGAGATGTACATGTTCTTAAGCTTAACAGTGTAGCCAGGATAGTATGAGCAATCAAATTATTTGATGCACTTATGGTAGAGCCATGCTAGGAGGGACAACGAGACACCGAGAGGGATTTCAAATTGTTGATATAAAATTGGCTTCTGATTATTTTTACGCAAATGAATGATTATGAGCACTTCGCCACAGCTCCTCGATCTCTCTCCGCAAGTTGTGATACCAACCGCGATGTACAGGATGCTGCCAGCAAAATGGACTTGACTTAAACAACTCAGTTTGTCCTACTGCAAGCGCAATAGTCACATCAACTCTTGCCCATATCAACATTACGTGATTACACCGCACTGGTGCGCAGCTCCTACACGCCTATGCGTGTGGAAATCCACCCATCCAGGGGCGGTAGAGCGCTTCAAGACTATTTTTTCAGCCGACAACCAGAAGTATTGACTGCGGTTGAGTCAGCGAAAGTATAGGAAACCCTATGAACAGTGTATATAGAAGCTCACTATATTTTGCTAGGTATATGACTCAATTCGCGCACTGGGCGAGGTAAACACACCGTCTCAATGCTTTACAAGCTAGCTTAAGCAAAGCAGATGCTGCATATACTGTCATATCATGCTTGACTTCGCAAAATGCAAAGCACGACGCGGACGTCAAGGTGACAACCCGTACCTCAAATTCCTGCAGTTTACAGCTCCATTCGTCTGTAAACGGCTACCGACCTGGTCGAGATATGCAAGGACGTATTGCGGATGCTATAGGCATACGGGACACGTTTAAATATGAAGTGGGTGAGTGGGAAGGTATGAAGAAAATGAAACGTGTCATCTAACTGAAGACATTTTATTGAGATGGAAGCTCTTATCGCCATTGGTAGATGGCCACCTCCATCAGGGCTCGCAGATCCTGGATATAACTACCTTGACGGGCTAACAAGTATTCATAGATGAAATCGGCACGCCCGATAAAACTGTGCAACCATTTGTCATATGTCGGCTCGAATCTTTTCATGTTCGGAAATCTTCTTCAATAAAGTTACTGCAGATAAGCTTCCATTCTCATGCACGGTCTGTCTGAAGCTTGGGTAAAATCGTGACTAGCCTAAATACTCTCATCCAACGAGCGAAATATCCTCTGCCTGTCCCCACAAGGGCTTGACGCTCGACATAAGCATTGTCATTTGTGCTCCCACCGACGCATGGTTGGGGTGTTTCTGGAGATGTCCCACCAGCTCATTCTCATAGCTTAAGAACGCTTCAGGACGAACGGTGTTCGTCTTTGGAGTATTTGGATCATCGGCTTATTTGCCATTTAAAATATGAGCGATTTAAGCGTGTCAGTCTGTCCCGACGACAGGTGATCAAATAATTTGTGTGCTAACCTCACAGAAAATACTTAATAAAAAGAAATGGATGTCGGATCGACGCCAGGTGCTACCAAGTGCAATGAAAGAGTCTTCGACTCAAAAGTCCGAGTTGGGTAATGCACCGATGTCGGGCTCGTATGCTCCACTCGGGATCGCAACCGAGAGCTCCAATGTAACAGAATACTTGCTGTCCTATTTACAATAGTGACATATACATCAAGGCTCAAGTCTACGAAACTGATAAATTTTACTATATTTGATAATAAATCGATCTGTATTGCATGATACAGGACACTTGTCCAACGTGCCCCATCTTTACAGAGTCCTCGTCGTTCTCATCAGGACCGTTACTTTGAATCCTCGAATTTGAGCACAAATTCACAAAAATGTAAACAATTGCACAAGCATTGCGTCAACACAATGATATAATAAGTGTGCAATCACTTTTATATTCATATGTATCGATAGATTTATTTAAAAAAAAAATCTGCCGACTTTTGTATCACATCTGGGGTGTGCAAACAGAATCTGTTAAAGACGCTACCAACACCTCGGGTCATCATTTGTACCCGCTCTATGTAATCAACCTGCATAACTGTATACTGATATGCCCATTTGAAACAACAGTCTTCCCAAGAGCTCTAATAATATATTGACATTTGCTGCACTCTACGTCAACATATCCACTATATCTCACATGCGCCATCGCCACCTCCCCGTAATGCCGCGCCGGATCTCTTTACCATTGAGAATTCCATTATCAGACCTGAATTCTCTTTCAGATACCAAAAAGACTAGCCGCTTCCATGGTTGGTGTGCCCGTGCAACCGCCGCGCCAGGCTGCAGAACTGCCCGAGGAGGACCAGCTTAAATTCAAGGAAATGGCAATACATTTACTGGATCGCACTTTGCGCGATCTGGACGAGCATGACATGGAAGCGCGGGCACATGACAAGCAAGACCCACGTTTGTGGAAAAGAATTCACCATAAGGAGCACTTTACCACCTACACGCGCTGCGATAACGCACCCGAGGCCGCTTACATCGCAGCTGATGGTGGACGTAGCACCACGTCGCGCCCATCCAAGGACGTGGTCTTGGGTATGGGATACGTACAGTGCTCACTCAGCGAGCTCATGTACGGTGTTTTTATGAGTAATAACCAAGCAATGGCGCTTAAAACTGCTGTAGTGGACAAAAATATCGGCAACGGCGCCGTGCTGCTGCAGCTTTTGGGCCCGACTGAAGAGGATCCATTCCGGTTTTTAGCCTTGAAATGGATCGAAGTACGCCCTCCGCGCGGGGTATCTGGTAAGCTGGTGGCACCTAGAGAAGTCATGTTTCTTGGTGGCACCGGCACGCTCAAACGACGTGACACTGGCGAATTCATTGGCTACGAAGTGCATCACTCAATTGACCACCCTGCCTTCCCACCTGTTGACGGGCTGCGCCGCACTCGCATCCTTATCGGATCAATTTACCGCGAGCGACCGAACGGAACAGTCGACTTGTTTATTAAGAGCTACAGTATGGAGGCCGATATGGGCAGCATCTTGGGCCCACTGGCTATGGCTCACGCCGCTAAGTGCATCGAGCAGGTCTGGACTGTGCCCGAGTTTGCGTACGCTAAAAAACTGCGATGGTGTATTGACCATCGCGTGCACGGCAACAGCGTAAAGGCATTTCAGGCTAAGCTTGCTAAGCGCTGTGCCACATGCAATAGAAGCGTAGCCAAGGTCTGGCTATCTAGAACCGTGCAAAAGGTATGTAATCTATGCAAGGCGCCGTTGTGCTCCAGCTGTAGTATCAAGAAAGAACTTTACGAAATTGACCCACACTTTCGAGCGCGAAAGTTTACAGTGCGAATTTGCCCTCCTTGTCGCGAGTTTGTCAAAAAGCTTGATGCCAAGGAGGTCCAACGGCAAGAGATGCTGCATCCGCAACGCCCTGAAGCACTTAATCCAATGACCCCCAGCACGATGGATGTGCTAGCACGCAATTTTTCATTGGGCAACAGTTTCGGCGCAGCTTCAGATGAAAGCTTGTGTCTTCTGGATTCGCCTCGCTCACGCTCCAACAGCGCAATGACAGAATTGCTTCATTGAGAAATGCAAATTACACTAAACGGATTAATTGTTCTCGTTTGTACTGAATCCATTTTATCGCGTGAGACGGCGCGGCATGCTAGCGACTCGGTAGTCTCCAAAGTAAACAATACATTCCACCACCATATCCACTCTGTTCGTGGCTCTCCTAGCCATTGACGTCAAGTCTTCATTGAACGAAATGTTTTAGGATGCGGAACGCACAGAAAGCGAGACCTTGCTCTAGAATAATTGCAAACATAAGTGTCTATGTTTCGTGAACATCTTTTTTTAACAGCTTCAAGCGCAAAAATTTCGCTTGCGCAATACACATGGAGTATGCAGCGCCTGCAGATAGCACGTCCAACATTCAAGAAAGTGGGAGTAATTGGCATTAATGCGCGGCCGGCGCTTTAGGACGCCCAAACAATTTATCTTTGTTAAGTGCCTTCAGAACGTGCCGCATGTACACAAAGAATATACTAGAATTCAAGAGTAGGGATGTCAAATTCTTCCATAAATGTTTTTACCCTGTCACCAGCGTGCTAGTGTAGCTTCGAGTGATGGACTTGGTATAAGGCGCGAGGTCGACGACATTACTATTCTGGCTATACCAAAATCACCAATTTTATATGAGACTTTGATGAAGTGAAACGCGCCACCAAGTTTAACACTTAGCTATTTGCCCAACATGTACCTCGATGTATACGTTGACAATCGGAAGTCTCTCTGAATCAACACCCGAGCACTGTGGCTGACAAGCATAAAAGGCTCGAGCACGCTACTCTCACAACAGTCGTTACAAGTATACCAGCATACTATGGAAGTACTTTATACCCTTGTCTTTAAGGGTGTCGAAGGGTACGCTCGTTGCTTTTATATGCGGAGAAAGAGCGGGCAATGTGATATAACTCAAGCAGTTTACCTACTTGCATTCAATGCAAAACGAGACAGAACTTGTACAATAAATGGCGAAATTTGATGCAGTATGTACGTCACACATCAGAATGACCACTACGGGACCCGAAAACTCGTCCTCATCTATGACATCCAACTCAGTTGGATGGAGAACCACACCTCCCTTCGCAGCGAAAGACTTGAATCTGTTCATTTCGTCACGACTAAACATTTAATGCGGAAGAATGATGTACGACTTCCGTTTGCTTGTTGTGGGTACTTTGCCGTCGTGTTGTACGCTTGTTAAAATTCTTGAGTAATTTCCATTCATTTTGGTTAGTTAATCTGGCAACGCGGTCGTCGTCAAAAGTTACCTCTCATCATACGAAACGTCCACGTAGCGTAATCCAATGCGTAGAAGACATCATCAATCGCTGGAATACCATACTTGTAGTCAAGGTCGTACAAAACGGCAAATTTTTGTGCCATAGCATCCAAATTTATCCGACTGAAGCTTCCGTGCTAACACACTTGTATCTGAGTTACTGCCAGAAAGATCCAGCTTGTTGTTGAATTTTACCAAGATGTGAGTCTCTATGTCTTTAGGCTAGATCTACTCCAAAATATTCCTCGTCATACAGCTTTCACGACGGTCGCATCTTCTTGCACAGACCGTCGGTCTTTTATGATCCTTGAGCCACGCGCCACCCTTCTTCGCCAAGTACAGCGTCACGAGTCTTGAAGGAATGCTGCTCATGATGCCAGCAATAGCCTCCTGCAGTGCGCTCACTTCCGCATCACGCACAATCTTCACGGGAATCACGATCCCCTCTCCTACACACCACATTGCAGCTTTAACGTCTCTACGTTCTTCTCGAACAGCTACACCCCACCATGTTGCTTTTTTCCAGAAGTTCCACAGTGAGAGCAACGAAAAACAATATTCTTGTTAGAACAATATTCTTGTTTTCCGTTGCTCTCCTCGGGTCATTCTCTCCAGTATTACCGGTTTTGGTTTTTGTGGACCGCGCTATGATGACCAAAGCGCTGTTATATCCGTTATGATGTGTCCCAACATCTAGCAATAATACAGCTTAACACGAATGTCTGGAATGCCGCGAGTGCAGGTAAAGTAAGCGTGTCACTCCTGTCTTTACTCTAGACCTCGTAATTGCAGGGCTTGCGCGGAATGTTTAGTCTCTCGGAGACTGGGACGACTTAAGCTTTTGTGTGAGCTAAATGTCAACCATTATTGACCCAGTTCTGAATATTAGCTCTGCGATAGTGGTCAAACATGGCATGATGCCTAGACTTCAAGAGTTATGAATTGACCAATCAGAAAGGAATGTACAAATCAAGCGTCACTTCAAATAGCACTTTATTTGCGCATAAGGTGACTTTGAAACAGACAAATAGCAGCATATCGGCATGCCTCGTTTCGAAACTTCCACTAACACGGCCTCAGTAGGTACACAACGTAATATTGTTTTAAAACTTGACTCGCTTAGAATATTTTTTGCTTTTTCTAGTGTCTGCTTGCTTATCGTCGTCTTCAACTGCACATCCGTCCCGACTAAGTTGAACAGCGTCGAGTGCGTCGCCAGAATTAGCATCATAGTCAACGCAACCATCGTCATCATTCGAAAACTTGGTCTTCTTGTTCTTTCCACTGCTGCTACCATCAACCGAAATGTTACCTACAGGGCAGTCACGCGCCAAATGTTCAATACTTTTGCAAAGCTTACAACAACCGCCCTTTGGGTAAACACCCGTCTTGTTTTGTGGGCATTTGCTACTCAGGTGGCCCTGCTGTTTACAGACGAAGCACGTGGCATGCGTAGCACCACCATTTTCAATTGGCTTAGGGCAATGACGCAGTGAGTGGCTACCATCACCACAGTTAAAGCAGACCTCAGATTGTTGCTGGGGCTGACCGCCTAGGTCATCAGTGCCCTTCTGTGGGCAATTTTGTGACGTGTGTCCTCGGCGGCGGCATTGATAGCACGTCTTGTTCAGTTCACCAAGCGCTCGATTAGGGCAGTCCTGCTTGCGGTGCGTCACCTCACCACACAACCAGCACCCGTTCTCACCATTGTTGTCGTTCCAATGAACCTCATCGCGCTTCGCACGGATCTTGGCCACAATTTCAGCCTTCTTCTCACAGCGTGCCTGATGCTTAAGCGTTTTAAAATGCTTAGCTTTTTGTTTTTTGGCCTTGCGCAGCTCCCGCCGCCTCTGCAGAATTTTACTCCGCTCCTCAGATTGTACAGCCGCCATTGGAACAATGCCTGTCAAATTTTTCGATTGCAACCAGTTATAGATGTTATAATAACCGAATTATCCAAAATGCTCTACAATTCAAAATTTGGTAATTTATTCTAAAAAATCTACCAGATATACAGAAAAAACAGTATACAGATATTTAAAGAATAAAAAAATATACTAAAGCTACTTTGATACACTAGAAGACATTTCGAAGCAGATTTCTCTTTCGCTGTCAGTTATCAAAAATGAAAAAGAAAGAGTATATTCGTGAGAAGCGAATCTACAAACAAAGATTTAATGTCACGACCTAGAAGACATTTCGTACTAAGCTTCGTGACAACCATTTTTCGGACCAGCATTTACCTCAGCGGGTGATTATTAAAAAGCTTGAGTCGAGGCAAAGAACACGTTTCTGACAATGTGCCTTGTCCGATACAGAGTCAATTATTCCCAGTCCGATAACAACTTAATAGATTCCAGCGACAAAACTCTATGCCGGAAGGACAGTTCGTATGATACGAAGGCTTTGCGATATTGAACTGTACTGCATACTTTATGATGATTTGATAACCCATGACAGAACCGTTTTCATGTGTATGGGTAAAACTAAACAGAGCGCTTGCAAGCGCGAAATTTTACTTCTGGTATCCGGCATTGCCAATGTTTTATATCAATCACAACATTGAGCAGCAGAGCTTTGTCGAATTGGCCAAAGCAGGCATGGTGCGTGTCGGCTTAAACTCAATCTTGTTGAATGGCTTTTTTGCCGAAGGTTATATCAAAGCTGCTAGCAACATCGCAAAGGCTTACAGACAAAAACGCTGCTTAGAAAAATGGGAGAGGTAAATTTCGCACAAATGACATCACGTTGGTGAGTGACGAAGTTACCCTGGCTAATCATTGCATCCGATTTAAGCCTTTTTTTCATGTCGACATCAGCAAAAAGGCATTACAAAATCGAGCGAAGCAATTGCTAGGATCAGAAGACTTATCTTGATCTTACTGAAAGCGATGGATTGCTAAGCACTGATTTGATGAATGTTAGAGAAAGGGTATAACACGAGCATTCAGGTGACTGACCATTTTCTAACGAGTCCCTTCGTAGTATATCGTAGATGGTGGGATCGAGATTCGAAAAATTATGATCAAACTAAATGAGGTGCGGCTAAAATTATGATCAATGTCAGCCAACTTATCACAGGGTTCATTAAAGGTTCATTTAATCCGACATTTCAACAATCCAAGCTACATGGACATGAATTTGGGCGAATTAATAGATCATCGCAATCGATTGAAATAATCCTGAAATTTCTGCGCTATCAAACTTAAATCAGAGCATGCTGCTATGCGACGTAGTTATCGTAAAGAGTCATGTATGGGTCAGACCATAGACTGATGCAGCAATGCAACAATATTGAGGGCGGATAGGCGGTGGTTGAAAGACATTTCACATTTCCGAATACTTTATTAACCATATTCGATTTCTCAGCAATGGGATAAAAAATCGAGTTTCACGCGTCTTTGATAAATTGATCGCTTGACGAAATCGTGCAGGCGAAACTGTTTGTTTTGACAATTACATTGTGATGAGAATTGTCGTACTTTTTGATCATTTGCCGGATGTAGCACTTCTGACATTGACGCCGTGCCAAATGTGACTTACATTTGCCAGTCAAATCCCATTTTTGCAAAGTACACGGCAGCGGTTCCTTAAAATGAGCCCAAACTTTGTAACACTGTTAAATGCAATGTCGAGCTCATCTTTCGTTAGACTATTTGCAATAAAAGTTCGCGAATGACATTCTGTCACGTAGCGCAGGCGAGGAAACGTTGGCGGAGGAAGGCGAAGTCGTTGGCG